TAGTAGTAATAATAAAAACACTGCTCCTTTTGTTATAATTCATTCTGATGTGTGAGGCCCTTCCCGTATTGCATCTATCTCAGGATATCATTAGTTTGTCACCTTTATTGATAGTTATTCTCGTCTTACTTGGGTTTGCTTATTACGCACTAAAAGTGAAATTTTATCTTACTTCTGCTCTTTTTATAAAATGGTTGGTACCCAGTTTGATGCCCAAATCAAAATCCTTCGTATTGATAATGAAACTGAGTATATTGATGGAAAATTCTCCTTTTACCTCAATGAGAGTGACATTCTTTATCAAACTAGTTGTGTGTGTACCCCATAACAAACTGGTGTTATTGAGCCAAAAAAACCATCATCTTCTTGAGGTTGCTAGTTCACTAATGTTTACCATGAATGTTCTTCAACACTTTTGGGAAGATGCAGTTCTTATTGCTACATACCTTATCTATTGCCTACCTTATAGTTTCTTGTAGTTTAAGTCCCTTATTGAGTGTCTTTCTTGGATTTTACCACTCCCTTCTATTTCTTCTCTTTCTCCTAAAGTTTTTGGGTGTGTTTGTTTTATACATGACTACAGAGCATATAGGGAAAAAATTGATCCTAAGGCTCTTCGGTGTGTCTTTACCGGCTATTCTCCTACTCAAAAGGGGTATAAGTGTTACCACCCATCATCTTAGAAGATGTATGTTAGCATGAATGTTACCTTTCGCGAGTTTAACCCTTTTTCTTTTCTTCCCAGCCATAGCTTTAGGGGCAGAACACACTATTATTGAGGAAGAGATGATGATATATTAGGAGTCCTTCCTTCGATTGCCTTTCCAGTGAGATATTAATCAGGGGGAGCAACAGATTGTTAGTATCAATGAACCACTTGGTATTACTTTGAAGACTTATTCTCGGTGTCAGAAGGTATAGACCACCCATATGCTGCCAGGTCAGTTGAATTCCTCACTCCAGTTCTAGTATCTCCTACTAATTTACTAGGTAATGAGCTTTCAGTTGTCACCCAGGTTATTGATAATCCAAATGTTGATGATTTTGAGCTTTCTATTGTAGTTAGAAAAGGTGTTCGAGCTTGTACTTAACACCCTATAACTAACTTCGTTTCTTATGATTCTTTGTCTCTATCCTATCGTACCTTTATTTCTTGCTTGTCTTCTATATCTATTTCTCATGGTTGGAAGGAAGCTCCCACTGATTCAAAGTGGCGAGAAGCTATGATAGAGGAATTGAGAGCTCTAAAGAAGAATGACACATGGGAATTAGTTCCACTTCCTGTTAGAGCAAGATCAGTTGGGTACAAATGGGTGTTTACTGTCAAAAAACAAGCTGATGGTTCAGTTGAGAAATATAATACAAGACTGGTTGCTACGGGATTCACTCAGACATATGACATTGATTATCAAGAGATTTGTGCCCCAGTGGACAAAATAAACTCCATACGTGCTCTTTTATCCTGTACAACTAATTTGGGATAGAGTTTGTAACAGTTGGATGTGAAGAATACTTTTCTCCATAGAGACTTGGAGGAGGAGGTATATATGGAGATTTCACTAGATTTTTCATCTGAGGTATCATTTCGAAATGGTCGAAACGTCCAAGACGTTTCCCTTTTCAAGGAGACCGAAACGAATCAGTGATGGAATCGAAATTCTAATGTTTTGAGGTATTCCATAATGTTTCTATAGGTATTATAATATTTCAATACATTTGCACAATTGTTTTTAGAATATTTTAAGGTATTTTAAGATATATTTTGATTTATTTTCATCAATGTTTTAAAAAAATAATTCCTAAAGTTTTTATTTTTTAAATTATATTTTCGAAACGGGTTGAAACGTTTTCGAAACACATCGAAACGTTTCTGTTTCCTAGATGACCGAAATAATAAACCAAAACGATATTTTGATCCTTGTCTGAGGTAACCGAAAGAAATGTGTGTAAGTTGAAGAAATTACTTTATGGGTTAAAACAGTCACTTAGAGCCTAGTTTGATAGGTTTCTCAAGGTCATGTTGAAATTTGGATACTATCAGAGTCATGTTGGTCATATTATGTTCATTAGGCAGATATATGACAAAATAACAGTCTTCATTGTATATGTAGATGTCATAGTGATAACTAGGAATGATGTGTAGGAAATAACTAGACCGAAAGCTCAGTTGGCTAGGGATTTTGAAAATAAAGACTTGGTCCATTGAGATATTTTCTTAGGATTGAAGTTGTCAGATCAGATAAAAGCATTTTTATCTCCCAGAGAAAATATGTTCTTGACCTACTTGTTGAAATTGATATGTTGGGATGTAAACCTACAGATTCTTCAATTGAAACTAACCATCGATCGGTGAGTAATGTTGGTGATATTGTGGATAAGGAGAAATACCAGAGATTAATGGGGAGATTGATATACCTTTTTCTCATACTCAGTCGGATATTGCTTATATCGTGGGGATTATAAGTTAATTCATGCATGATTCTTGAGTTCTTCATCGTAAAGCTGTTTATCGTATTTTGAGATATCTCAAGTCAACTCTTGGGAAAGGGATCTTGTTCTCTAATAATGGTCACTTAAAACTAGAAACATTCATTAATGTAGACTGGGCATGTTCAGTAGATGACAGAAGATCCATTTCACGCTACTGCACCTTAATAGGAGGAAATCGTGTCATGTGACGAAGTAAAAAGTAAGTAGTGGTAGCAAGGTCTAGTGAAGAGGCTGAATACAGAGTAATGGCTTACGGAGTTTGTGAGCTTATGTGGCTCCAAACCCTATTGAGTGAGCTCAGAATTCATTGTAATGGGCCTATAAGACTATATTGTGATAAAATAAGACAGTTATCAACATCGCACACAATTCAGTTCAACATGATAGAACTAAATATGTTCAGATTGATTGACACTTCATCAAAGCGAAGCTGAACAAAGGTTTAATTTGCATACTATTTGTGAAATCAGAAGAACAATTGGCCATTGTTTTTACAAAGGGACTTAATAGCAAGTTTTTTCATCTTATTATTTGCAAGTTGGGCATGAGAGACATTTATGCACCAACTTGAGGGGGAATGTTATGTTATGTTATATTAGGATGTAACCATTAAGGGTATCTTTGGTACTTCTGTGAGTATATATATATTGGGATGTAGCTGTTTCACCCTAATACACACTACTCTCTTCATAATCTTGTCTCTCTTTCTCGTACTCTTCCTTTCTCTATCCCATAACCCTAATTCTCCATAGTCTAACTATAATGAAAGTTTCCTACGATGGTTAGTCCTAAACCTTCTCACCGGGTAACGAAAATCATAGTCCTTAGGTATCTGATTCCAATTTGTTTTATCCTAATTTTTGGAATTTTGATGGCTTCTAGAATATGAACTCCATTGGGTGAAGTTTCTATGATGTGATTATGACCAAGAGAAAAAAAAAAGAAAAAGAAAAAAGATTATGATCAAGGATTAAAATTTTGTTTCGGTGAATTGTTTCGGTTGTCGAAGAAATGGAAACGTTTCAACCTTTTTCGAAAACAAAATAAAAAAAAATAAAAAATTCAAAATTTATTTTTTCAAAATATTAGTCGAAATATTTTGAAACATTCCGAAATAATCGTGCAAATGCATTGAAATATAACAAAATATTTCAAAATATTATGTAACACCGAGAAGTATTAGAATTTCGATTCCATCATTGAGACGTTTCAGTCTCCTTGGAAACAAAAATGTTTCGGATATTTCGACCGTTTTAAAACGATATTTTGATCCTTAATTATGATGATGCTTCTCCTCAGTAAATTAAGTGTAAATGTTGTAATACTGTGTTGAGGATTTGAAATTGTGATTCTAGTCTGGAGTTCCTACAATATGTTATCAATACTAGGGTTGTCTACCCTGGTCAACGCCAGCCCTTATCTTTCTGGTGTGGATTTATGTAAGAGTGGAGAGAAGTTGCTATGGAACCTATATCTGCTGATGCCTGGGAATAACACTAAGATGGCTCCTAGTACTACTAGTGAGATCTGGCAGTGAAAAATTTATTTTTTGCTAGGGGAGATTGAAGCATATCTTTCTAATTCTCCTAAACCAGAACAGGAATGTTAAGATTCACTCATAGGCAGATGTAACAAAGAAATTCTTACTGCTTAGTGGAAAGCCAAACTTTTGACATGCCCACCGCCCCAATTAGTTTTGGACAATATGAATTCAAGACAACATATTTTAATTCATAACTGATCCCAATAATTAAGAAAAAGCTTTATTATCTATCTTTCTTCTCCTCTCTCCCACCAGCATGAAGTATGAACCTGTTGCTTGAAGCCAGTAATGATTTTCTCTCTCTCTCTCTCTCACAGTCATACACACACCCACACACAACCATATACGTGTGTGTGCACACATTTACTCATTTGAATCAAATTTAAGTCTGAATAGCCACATTTAAGGCAAAGTTTAAGTTTCAACTGCGAAGGCACTCATATCTTTTAGATATGAGAAAGATGCCACACCTAAACTTACATGCCCTGCATTTTTCTACTTCCCTTAGAACCATATTTTTTAATGCCTTCAGTGCCACCTCAGTTTTCAGGTGTATCTTGCCGTGTACCCCTGTAGTATAAGTTCAATTGAATCAATCACCGTGTTTTCTCGTTTTAGGATTTTGTCCATGTTGACCTTTTTGGAGTTGTATAGGGATCGGATCACTCTGAAGACATGGGGCTTCTTTTGTCATATACAACTTGCTCATTGATTCCCATTCACTGAGGAAATTGGGTCAAAATTATCATGCATGCTATTGCCATTCATCCATGTTGCTATTGCAGGATCTCGTAGATTCTTGTTTTCTTGATTTTTGTTTTTGTTTGGGAGGGGGAGGGAGGTCACAACTAATGATTTCTGATAGGAAATTCATAACTTGTTACTGTTTTATTCTGTTCAAATTGTCATGTGCTAATTTGACTGGTTGCTATAATCCGAGTAATTTCACTGTGACTTGCAGGATATAATGAGTATTCTAGCAAGCCACCCTTGTGCTTGGTCGCCCACAGTTTGGGTGCATCATTTCAAGGGAAGATATCTTAGAGTTCCATACTTTGGTTATTCAAGTCGAGATTCTCCTTCTAAAGAACCGGTTTTATTTCAGGGTCAAAACCTTTTAAATAGTTGCAGTCAAAGTGCAAGGCAATATCAACCTGTTTTTTCAGGTACAGTGGATGATGGGATGGGTCCAGATGACCCTGAAGATGGGGTTGATAAGGATGTATCTTCAGAAGGTGAAACTGATGCGGTCAGTTGTTTTTCCTTGACCAATAAAAAATAAAAATAGCCTTTGAATAAAACCATGATTTCAAGAGGAAAGCAGGTTGTATTATTGTGGTTATGCTGTAAATTTGTCACAAATTCGCACTCTTTTCTGTGACTTCTTTTATTTACAAAACTGTTGCTTTACATGAACTGATTTTAGTTTATCTCCACCTCTTTTTTTAATGTCTGAAGTATCTTATATTTCTTTCAGTGCTTCAGCTTCCACTTAATTAGTAGCTATTCTCCATCAGCACACTATGAATTCCAAGCTTTGATCATGTGTTAGTTCATTAGACAATAAAATACTATCTTCCCTACAATGGGTGGCCCATCATTGCTACTATTTTTAGCGTCTTTAGTAAGTGAAATTGCTTTTTTGACTATTTGTAATGTTATGTAAAGTGTCTTCTATTTTTCTCTTGAGTGTGGAGTGGTTTTCAATATATTTCTGTTTATGCTGTAATAAAGTCATGCCTGCGGTTGCCAACACAATGTTGCATTATTCAGTATGTGGAGAATTGTATTCTGCAGTCTTGTGCTGTGCATTGTAATACACATTGGTTAGATACCAATGATCATGATTTTTGGCTACCCAGTTCATCCTAGGAGATTACACCTGGGTCAGTCCTTTTACCCGACAAATGGAAAACATAAGGTTTGTTTGATCTGAAATCCGTTTTGCTACGTTTGTCCTTTTCTGAAATGGGAGAATCAACTTGCTGGTAGATCTTGTGATTTCTTAGTATAAGAATAATTAATATGCATGCAGAAATTGATTTATGCATATATGTATGATATATCAGGACAGAAATAAGCATCACTGATTATATTTTTCAGGTGAATAGGGATATGGTCAGAGAAAATCTTGAACGAATCATTGGTACTGATGACTCTACTTTCAGTGGGATAGATCTGGCAACTCTTATTAGGGACAAGTATGGGAGGTCCTATGATGTTCAACTTATAAAGAAGGTATGCTTATTCATGTGGTATCCACAGTATCTTCCTTGTTTGATGACCTTAAAGCATAATAAAATGATTTTTTCTGTCTTACTCGCTCTCTTTTCTTCTCTTTGTTGAACTAATTTTATTATTTTTATTGAAATGTAGTAAAGAATACTTGGACATCTCATGGAAATTATTTCATTCCATTAAGTTTCATGCAGCTTTCGAGATGAATTATTACTGTTTATATTAGCAGTCAAATGGATCTGTTCACTGTTCTTGATTTGATTGATTGATTGATTCTATGATTCTGTTTAAATTTCGTACTTAAATTCGTATCTGTATTGGACCAATATCTATCAGAGATGTCTTCTTTGGTTGTTCAGTATCCAAGAAGCATGGAAACCTCTAAGAATGCCACATGCCCATGTTGCACAGGTGTCAGAAACTAACACTTTTCAGACACATCTGACACCTATTTGGTCATTTCTGTTTTAAAAAACAAGAATATTAGTTTAGAACGCATGTCTGAGACTCTGATACTTCTTGGATACTAGAATTTGAAAGTTAAGGTCTGGAAGTGCTATGAAGAGAATTAAGGCCATATATAATTTACTAGCAAGTTGTTACTATTTTTAACATGAAAGTAAGATGAATATAGATTTAATTAAAGGACTATACTACATTTGTACAACATTGGGTGATTATAGACTATAATTAGTCATAAATAAAGATTTTGTGTTACAAATTAGGTATAAGATTCACTTCACATTATCAATTAGTCAGCCTCTTGGGGATGAGCATTTACAAGAAGGGGTTGTTTAAGCTGAAGACACTGTCATTGCTTAGGCAAATCCTACTTAAACTCCCAATATTACTAATGCCAGTGAGCATATGGAATGCATTACTATGGAAAAAGATTATGAGAGATTGGCCCCAGCTACTCATGTAGATGTGGCAGAGGCTAAAATGGCCACTGATGGTAATGTTTCAAGGCAAGAACAGGTCTAACAGTTAACTCCAGTGGAGAGGATATTGCAGAAATTTTCTGTTGATAGGTTAAAGAGAAAGAATTAAATTCAGCAGTAAACATCCTCACAAAGCTTAATCATGAAAGAGGAATTGAGAAGAGGTTGGTCACTCTGTCTAATTCTTTTTGCAATTTGGATTATAATAAAGCTTTGGGTGGGATCAATGGAATTTACGATGATTATGAGTCTGATTTTGTGTCATCTTAGAGTGAAGAGGACCAGTCCGAAAGTCTGAATTCTCAACTGGTATTATGGAGCACACCAGCCACTGCACCTGATGGGATAGGGACTCAGATATCTAAAGCACTTATGGAGAAGGTTCATAGATGAGCCAAAGGTATAGCCACACCAGAAATTTAATGACCACAGAAGAGATTCATCTAGTTCTTCAGAATAACAGAGTTTACTCTAAAGACGACCTTTTTGAATTATCTCTTCAGCTAAGGAAAATTGGGATAGGGGATTCTATTCTGATGATGAAAATGTTTGTTTCTTTCAGAAGGAGGACTTTCAGTCTTTCATGGCCTAATTCAATGATCTTTTACTGAAGCTGGACAAAGCTGAACAGCGAAGAAAGCAGAGAGAAGTTAAGATTGCAGCAATGAATGCCGCGCTTGAAAAAAATTCAGATTCTACCAGCTTCAAGGGCTTCAGTTCAGGTAAACGGACTATCCCCAGTTATGACATGATCCAAAGCAAAGGGCTTCAAGATGACGAAGGAGAAAAAACCATTTGGATTTAGAAGGTATTAGGTGCTTTAGGTGGTGCATAAAAATAAGCATGCTTTGGTTAATGGGACCATACGATAAGTATGCTAGTGGAAAGTGTGGGCTTGCAAGGACTTATTGGTTTGGGTGGGTAAGACATTCATGGGATCCAAAGCTATGTGTTCTAACGATGGAGACAAGCATGCAAGGAGAATCATGACTCCAAGTGGTAGACAATTATTTTATTAAGCATGGGACACTTAGAAAAGTGGAACAATATAAAAGTTCAAAAAAGGTAGAATAAATTTTTGGTGGAGGTGAATCCTAGGAAAATGATATGTAGGAGGAGACACAGTTTAGTGGCCATTGGGGCCCATGAAATTGAGCATTATTCTGGCAGTGGAGTTTTAAAGTATGGAATATTTCCAAACGAATGTCTCGGCTAGGCTTTTAACACTCTAGTGAAAGAATTTGGGAAACAATTTTAAATTGCTAGTTTCATTTCAAAGCATAAAATTTTCAATTTTATTATGTAAAGGGGCAAAGTTTATGTCTTCCCCTCTCCTCTTTATGTTTTTTGTTATTAATAAATATTTGCCCTAAATGGGGGGATTTTTATCAAAAAAGAAAAAAGGAAAAAGATTCACTTCACATATTATATAAATTTGTAGAAAACTTATAGACAGACTAAATAATTTACACACAAGAATAAATCTATTTGCTGTTGTGTCTTGGACATCTTTGTGCCCTACTTTTATACAATTTTGTTGGTCGGCATTGTGGAAGGCATCGAACCCAAAATCAATTGGCAATGGTTGGAGAAGCTTCTCAACAATATAATACAGCCTTGGGTGATCCTATGGATACAATTTCTCGTCATACCATTGCTCACGTAGGACCTAGATGTGCACGCAGGCTCACTATAGAGAAACAAATTGGGAAACTTAAATCAGTAAGAGGCTTGATCATCCAAAGCTTATCTGTGATATCGTGTTAACAGTATCCAACCAAAAACCAATGGTCAATGGGTGGAGAGACCTTTCACCATATAAACCAACCCTAGGTGATCCTAATATTTCTTTGAAAAGCCCATTCCACCTGTGACTTTACTGCTTTTATTAACCTGTTTATTTCTTCTCTTATATCCATTTTGAAGTATGTTCTTCTTTGGAGATTTGCATAGTTTTGTGATGGAACAGGAAATCATGTTAAAAATAGCACCATTACTTCGTAAAAGTTGATTGAACAATAAATTGAATGGTAAGGCTAGTTCTAGCAAGTACAACAGGAGAATTGCCTACAAAGACGGCAGCAGTATCTTTTGTATTCAACAATTTTTATATGGTTTAGGAAGTCCTTAGTTCAATTTTATTCACGTCATTTACCCACAAAAAAAAATTATATCTAGGTTGACTGAGATTTTTTCAAATTACTACTAGACTCCCTCAAGTATTTTTAGTAACACTGTGTTTCCCTCTATTTTGGTTGTTTGTGATAGATTCAGCGAAGTGTTAACACGATCTTAAGGGGACTTCATAGATTGGTTGATTCAAACAGCTTATTTTTGAACAAATAATAATAGAACCCTGTTGGGATCCGTGGGCATTTGAACTCATTGCCAAACAAATCCTTACTCATCTTATCCCCAGCTTATACTTGTTTCCAAACAAAAAACTTCATGGAAACTAGGGAGGACTTATGGCAATAAGATTTGAACAAGGAGAAATTTCAGACCAAAAATACAAACACGTGTGGTAATTGGATAATGTCACAAAGAATGAAGCTCTAAGAAATTCAATAGGCAAGTGAAACAATATTCCAATAGATGGCAGTTGCTATTATGTCACAGCGATTTAGTATTGTCTAAGATCTTCAATGCAAACCTGATTCTCAAACTTTTCTGAATTACACTGAAGTAGAAACTGAGAGAAACTGCCACCTTTGGGTAGCCTCGCACACATATAGTTGTGACCAAGGGATCAGTGGGGCGCACCGGAGTCAAGTTCTCAAGACCCTACCCTCCCAAGTCTTGAACCCTACCTGGTTTGTAATTTAGCTGTAGTAACCTAAAATAAGCTTCCCTATGTTACTTTGTCTTGTTTTAACTTTATAGATAATTCTTATTACCTAGAAAAGTATTATGTATCCTTTTGTGTGGGGACAATTATAACCTTGATATGAAAAGGGTCCAATGGTTAGATTTGGAACCTATCCGGTAGCCTATTATAACTTTTTCCCTTCTATTTGAAAAGAATAGAAGCTGCTTCTACTGTATTGTTTTTCTCTATCTTTTGGCCTGTTTCTCCTTGTTTTCTTCTTTAATTTCTGTCTTCATTCTTACTTTCTTCATCGTTGGTTGAGCTAACCTTGCTAACTTGTTGCCAAGCTAACAAAAAAGGGCTGCAAAGCTCGAACTTCTTTCACTAGGCTATGTCAGGTGTTATCAGAGCAGGTTTATGAGAAGAAGAGGATGTCAAGGTGCAGTTCTAGGTCCAACTTAAACTAGAGGTTAGATAGAATAGTTGAGGGCACAAGTTGAGAAGCTAACTCATAGGTTAGCACAACTTGAGGCCCCAAGTCAAGAGGATGCTGCTTTTGATTTGGATGGTTTCTTTGAAAATCCATTCTACCACGAACCTCAACATAAACAACAGGTTGTAGGGGCAATAGGTGGTGGAAATGAACCTCAAAATGGGGATTCCTAAAATTTGGGATGTCTTCAAGTTGAAGAGTTTGTTGATTGGTTATATGTGATTGAAAGAATCATTGAGTTCAAACAAATTTAACATAATGAGAAGGCACAATTGATCGCTATCTAGGTTAAGGGGTAGAGTTTCCGCCTCCATGTTTGATTCTTACGAAGAGCTTTCTTTTCTTTATTCATAGTCAATTTCTATCCGGGAGATGATAAGGCTTGTTTGAAAGAGGTAGGAACAAACACAGAAGATAATGATGTTGCAAAACAATGAAAAGATTGGGAAAGTCGATAAAATGAGACAAAATTAGAAATTAGATGTTATGTACAACTATGAGTACCTTGTTGTAATGCAATGGGTAGATTAGAAGACGATGGAGTAACAATTGGCTTTGGAGGCTGGACCTCAAAAGAAGTCAATGTTGTCGGGGGAGCTGGAGCACAAGACACAACCTATCTATCTTTGGAGTGACGGTAAACCTGCAGTGGAGGACTAGACACTGGTGAAGGAGAAGGCACAACATCTAGAACAGTAGGCAAAAAAAGTTCCCTCTAGAAGATACCAACTATAACAAGGTGGTGACTTGACACAGAAAACGAAGGAAAAGACTCAAAGAAGGTAACATCGACACTGAAATGGTAGTGGTGAGAGATGAGATTATAGCATTGATAACCTTTTTGGGCACGAAAATATCACAAAAATATACATTTGATTGAGCGAGGTGATAATTTATCATTAATAGAACCAGACTGGTAAATAAAAGCACCACAACCAAAAACATGAAAAATTAAACAAAATGACGGTGTATTAAGACTTGTTGTCCAAAATAAGGGAAAGTATGCGATTAATAAGATAAGCTGAAGTAAGAACAATATCAACCTAATATAGTTTTGGCACATTCATGTTGAATATCAAGGTGTGGGCAATATCTAACAAATGATGATGTTTAAGCCTGATAACACTATTTTGTTGGGAGGTATGTGGATAAGCAGTTTGATGGATAATGTCATGGTCATCACAACAAAGTTTTCATAAACGATTGAATATATTCAAGGGCATTGTCATATTGAAAAACTTTAATACATATATCAAACTAACCCAAAATATGATTGTAGAAGATGGCAAAAACCTTAGGTAATTTAAATCAATCTTTCATAAGAAATAAATTCGTCATCCAAGAGAAGTCATCAATAAATATTACAAAATATTGAAAATTAGAAATACTTTTGACTCTTACAGGGCCTCGAATATCTAAATGGATAACATTAGAAGGACTAGACTAACGACTTGAAGAACTAGGAGAAAAAGAACTACAGTGATGCTTGCCTAATTGATAAGCCTCACATTGTAACATCGAAGAACTCAAACTAGGGATAACTTGAAACAATTCCTGCAAGGAAGGATGACCCAGTCAAAATGCCATTGGCAGGAATAGAACCTTCGGGATTCAAATAGTAAATGTCGTTGCTCTCATGTCTGAATCAATTACCTTCTTCGTCTGAGGTTCTGGAAAACTCAAAAAGATAAAGTACATGTTACTGAATACTATAAGGGCTTAGTTAACTGACTCGCAAATAACAAGTTAAAAGGAAAAGTTAGGAACAAATAAATTAGAGGTTAATGACATAGATTCAGTAGGACGAAGATTGTAGTCCCATTTACTAGTCGAAAAAGCCATCCGCTAACACAATAAGTGAATTAGGTGAACCAAAAATAGAGATTAGTGAAGAAATACTAGACATATGAGCACTAGCTCTTGAATTAATGACCAAAGAGGACGAAGAAGATTGGGTAGCCTCTATGCAAAGTTACCTCTATTAGGGAAAACGGTGGTAGAAGTAGACAAATATGAAAAAAATGAAGATAAATATTGGATGAGTTGACTAAGCGGAGAAGAAAGGTCATCGTGAAAGCTAGAAGCAGATGTAACTGGGCCATCGTTAGAAGTCTATTGGACTTGGGAACTCGAAGTACCATAAAAGCTTGATTAGCATAAATTAGTCTCCTATATTTATCCCAACAATAATCCTCTGTAGGTTGTGTGTCACTGTGATGAGTCCACTTCCACTTAGAATGATTACCATGACTAGAACGTCCACCAAGGCTAGTACCTCGATCACCGCGACTGGCGTTATGAGCTAGACAACTACTGTCACCATGACTACACTCACTAGATATTAAGGTGGAGGACTCTTGTATAGAAGAAGAAGTCCTATGTTTAAGAGAAACACGTTGAAGACGAGAGGCAGAAGTGATCTCTCTAGTTTGAGCATCCACTAGATGACTTATAACATTGTTCGAGGTTGCATCGAGAAACTTACAATTGATTATGTTCTATT